TCTCTCCCTCTCTCTCTATCTCTGTCTGTCTCTATCTCTGTCTCTCTCTTTCTCTCTTTCTCTTCTCTCTTTCTATCTCTCTCTCTCTGTGTCTCTCTGTCTCTCATGTCTCTCTCTATTTCTTTCCATCTATCTCTACTTTTCTATTTCTCTCTCCTTCTATCTCTCTCTCTCTATCTATCTATTGCTCTCTCTCTCTCTCTCTCTCTCTCTCTGTCTTTATCTCTCTCTCTGTCTTGCTCTCTCTCTCTCTGTCTCTCTCTCTCTCTCCCTCTCCCCTCCCTCTCTCCCTCTTTCTCTTCTCTCTGGAACTCGAGCCGTCGCTTGTGGCCAACTTCCTCCATTCCTCACCGGTCCATGCTGTGCTCTGTGTGATCCATGTAACTGGGTTCAAATCAACTGTTGGAGAGATTACTTTAGAAAACATTTAGATTGGTCAAAACTGTGATGATTCAGGAGTTTTGTTTTTTTTTACGGCCTCAGAGGGACCCGGTGTTTTGTGTTTCCAGGAAATTTCTTTGCAGTGATGACCGAGAAACCTCAGTGTTTGTGCAGGAACTTTTCCCCACATCTGCCTTTAGACACGACAGAAACACATCACTCTTGGCAAATTGTGGCCGTAAAAACATAAAGTCCAAATAATAATATAAAGTCCATTCTGTCTCCTTATGCCTTTCATGCTCAACCATTCTGACACTTTATCTACAGAAATCTATGTACTTTGGGCACCTCTACCACCGGTTTGAAATATGCTATGCTCAAAATATCCACTAGAGGTCGCTGTAGATATGTAGTTATTAAATGATCACAATACATAGATCACATTGCTTTTCTCAAGGGGTGAATATTAAAGGGTGAAGTTTTAAGTTTTTTCCACCTCCATAATATCTCCGCTCTCCGCCTCTCTCTCTCCCGTCACACCACAGCCATTCTTGTCCACAGCCCTGTTACATCCCGTCTTTTCTCTCTTCCAGTTCTGTTTTTAATAATGCTAATGTTTTTAAATACACTTTAAATACAAGCAAACGTATTATTATTATTGTTATTATTAGGCGTAGAAGGTTATTCTATTAAGACAAACGTGTAAAGAAGCTAGTACGTGTCAGGTAAAGCTTGTCAGTACTAGTTTCTTTACACTTTTGTCTTTACTATAAGAACCTCCTACGCCTACAACCGCTGTCGTCTCAGAAGACATTGGTTATTGGTCCATAGGGAGCGAGATGACCAGTGTCCATAAATGTCCCGGGCCATCTCCTGCGTCGGCAAGAAACGACTCAAAAAATACAGTTGGCAAAAAGTGAGAAATCTCCGGAGATCCACATTGAGAGAGAGTCCACTTCCAGGAACAGACAGGCTGTAGATCCAGGACTCAGGCTGTAGATCCAGGACTGAGACTGTAGATCCAGGACTCAGGCTGTAGATCCAGGACTCAGGCTGTACATCCAGGACTCAGGCTGTAGAACGAGGACTGAGGCTGTGCGGGTGCAGGACTGAAGAGGGTCCTAGCTGGGGAAGGGGCCGCAGCTTTTGAGTCCGGGCCGAGGGGAGACAAATTCACAAGTTTAGATCAAAGAGACCTGATTCAGGACCAAGTTTTCCCCAACTGGCTCTGGCTCCCTCTGAGTCTCATATTGACTCCCCCAGCTCAGTTACCGTTTGTGTAACCAATCAGACACCTTTGGGGAAAATCCAGCATTTTTTACACTAAGTTTTGCAGTTTTGTCCATGGTCTCTCTCTGGTCTCTCTCTCTGGTCTCTCTCTGGTCTCTCTCACTGATATCTCTCTGGTTTTCCTGTAGCCCTTGGTCCTACTCCTCTCTGGTCTTTCTCTCTGGCCTCTCTCTCTTGTCTCTCTCTGGTCTCCCTCTGAGTCTCATATTGACTCCCCCAGCTCAGTTACCGTTTGTGTAACCAATCAGACACCTTTGGGGAAATTCCAGCTTTTTTTACACAAAGTTTGGCTGTTTTGTCCATGTGGGAATGATCACGCTTTCTCTCGTCTGTTTTCTTTGCGTCAGGACATAAATAACACCAGTTTAAACAGCTCTAAATCACAGCTACAGTACGTAACGGTTTGCCAAAGGTCCATGAAAAGACCTTGTTGGAGCAGCGATGTGTTGCTTTCACAGAAGGCTTTTGTGTGTCTCTGCGTGTGTTTGTGTGCGTTCACGGTGGGACGCCCGCACCAGTGAGAATATGCAGGGAGAGAATGTGCCGCTGGGAGAATCCACGTTCACTTGTTGATCAGAAAAATATGCAACTATTCATCCGACCTTTACAATAAGACAACAGCGGGCGGGCGGGGCAGGTTCACGGACGGATACGCAAACACAGGGCTGTGCGAGACTTAGCACGTCTCACTCTAAGCTCTCCATACATTTCCTCAAAGCTACGACTGCTTTTGCCGTTTTTTGTGGCGGCGTCTGCAAGTGAGAGCAAAACATAGAAAGACTGGGTTAGGGTTAGAATAAGCCTTTACCACCGCATTGTCCTAAACGTAGGGCTGGGCGATATGGCTGAAAACTATATCACGATATAAGTCATTCATATCGGTCAATAACGATATATATTGAGGTTTTATTTTTTAACCTAAATAAATATATTTGTTGTGTGGGCTAACCAACCTTAGCAGCCTTGTTTACAGTCACGGGGCGATGAGGCTGGAGGAATATGTTCACACTGTGTCCCTCGTTGTTAGTCCTGGTTTAATCCTGGTTTTTTATTCCTGGTTTAGCTCCTGGTTTGGTTTCAGAAAACAATACTCAACGGAGACTGCATGCTGCTATTTAATAGAGGAAATAAAATCCAGTCTAGATAGTGGAGGAGTCGTAGGGGCAGTCTTTCTTGACTTGCGTAAAGCCTTCGATACAGTAAACCATGAACTGCTGATAGATAAATTAACACATTTCTCCATTAGCACAAGTACAATTAACTGGATTCAATCTTATCTCAGTGCAAGGCAGCAGTGTGTATCAGTAAATAATGTATCATCTCCCTTACGAGCATGCACTATAGGTGTGCCGCAGGGCTCTATATTAGGGCCCTTGCTATTTTCTCTTTATATTAATGATTTTCCATCTGTATGTAATAATGCTAAAATGATCATGTATGCTGATGACACTGTTGTGTATACTCATGGTAAAACTGTTAAGGAAGTTGCCCAAAAGTTAACTGAGGAAATGAAAAACATTTCCATTTGGTTGAAAAACTCTCATTTAACTTTGAATGTTGACAAAACGGTTTCTATGTTCTTCACAAACCGCCGTAAGTTCTCACTATGTGAAACTGGACAAAAAATCATAATTGAAGGTCAGGAAATTTTAAATGTAGACCAAATAAAATATTTGGGAGTAATTCTTGACCCAAATTTAAATTTCAAAAAACATATTAAAAAACTAACCAATACGTTGAAATTTAATATAGCAAATTTTAGATATATTAGGAACTCTCTGACTATAGATGCTTCTAATTTATATCTAAATGCGATGATAGTTCCGCACTTCCGTTATTGCATGACGAGTTGGTCGCAGGCATGTAAAACAGCATTAAGGCCCCTGGAATCATTGTACAAAATTTCTCTTAAGGTTCATGACAAGAAATCTCGGCTCTATCACCACTGTCATATTCTTAAAAAGCATAGTATATTGAGTTTTGAAAATATAATCATATATTCTAATCTCTGTCTGTTGTTCAAGATAATTAATGGTACTGCAGCTCCTCCATTAAAAAAGTTTATTTCACTGAGCTCAGAAATTTCATCTCGAGCCACTCGATCGACTGTTCGGGGCGAGTGTAGGATTCCTCAGTGTAAAACAGCGTTCGGCAGCTCAGCCTTCTCCAGTGTGGCCATCAGACAGTGGAATATGTTGCCAACAGAGCTGACCACATGTGTACATTTTAACACTTTTTCACACCAGGCCAAAAAATTGCTTCTTTTAAAACAAACCTGTTCCCATAATGTAGTGTAAATTGGTTTCATTTTAATGCTGTTTAGGGGGAAATGTATTTTTAACATGTGTAATTTTCTAAAACTTTGTATGTTGACATCAGTCTGCCCAGGGACTGCAGGTGGAAATTAGCACAAGTGCTACAACCTGGTACAATGCATCTCTCCTTTCTGAGGTTAATGGATATTGTACACTGTCCCTGTTCAAATAAATAAATAAATGAAATAAATGAAATGTTTAGCTGTTTGAGGGTCTTGTGTCCCCGTGACCGCTCCGTGTGGCTCTCTGTGCCGCACATGCTTCCAGAGGAAAAAGTTAATCTCTTGCTTTCGCCGAATACATCGTGTCTGTCCACTGCCTCTGCCGCCGCACATGTTATTCCGCGCACGTACGTGCACAACCATTGACACGGCATTGAAACACGAGCTATAGATCCATGGACGCCACGCATGGTGCGGTTGTTGGTGTTTTTGCATTTCCCACAAAGTTTTGCGGTTCCTGCTCGGCTGTTGTTGGTCGAGAAGCCTCTGCCTACATCCCCCACAATGCCATGCGCTTATGAGTCGGCTTTACTTCCGGTGTTTTCTTCCTGTTTTTCCTGACGGAGTTAAGTTAAACTATCGAACATTCTATCGACCCCATTCTCTATTGATATCGAACACATGTCTATCGCGATATATATCGTTATCGTTTTATCGCCCAGCCCTACCTAAACGTCATGTCGAAATGCGTTTGCGAAAAGTTAATTGCTATGCTAATGTTCTGAACCTCTGTCTTTCCATTTCCTGCATTTTGACATTGATCCTACACCGCAGAGTCCTGGTCCTTGTTCTACAGCTTTAGTCCTGGATCTACAGCCTCAGTCCTGGGTCTACAGCCTCAGTCCTGGATCTACAGCCTCAGTCCTGGATCTACAGCCTCAGTCCTAGATCTACAGCCTCAGTCCTGGATCTACTGAGGAGCACCTACAGGACACATCACAGCAGCACTCCTGTCTTCTCTACGTGGACTGAAAGCAGAACTCTTGACACTTGTCCATGTGTGTGTTTGCAGAGAGGCTTCTTCTCCCTACCTGGTGGATACTTCTTCATCGAGCCGGTGCAGAGGTCCTTGGATGGTTCAGCTGGAGGTCCAGAGCCTCACGTGATCTACCCCCAAACCACTGCTCCCTCCAGCAGCAGGAAGAGGAGAGGAGCTGGGGACTCACATGGTCCCTGTGGGGTTCATGGTCAGACCTGCTTCTATCAGATTTTTTTTCAAGAAAGCTCATCAGATGTCAGACATATTTCAAATACTGGTCCCTCGCTATTTTGTGGATTTTTTTGTGGTCAATTTAGTTTGTTTATAGTGTGTTTCTCATACAACCTCTACTCTAACATGACAGTTAACTTCATATAAGGTCAGAAGAAACGTTTGCGACTTGCGTGCACCTCAGTGGTCTCTCTCTGGTCTCTCTGGTCTCTCTCTAGTCTCTCTCTGGTCTCTCTCTGGTCTCTCTCTCTTTAGTCTCTCTCTGGTCTCTCTCTAGTCTCTCTTTTGTCTCTCTCTAGTTTCTCTCTCTGGTCTCTCTCTGGTCTCTCTCTGGTCTCTCTTTAGTCTCTCTCTGGTCTCTCTCTGGTTTCTCTCTCTTTAGTCTCTCTCCGGTCTCTCTCCGGTCTCTCTCTGGTCTCTCTGTAGTCCCTCTCTCTGGTCTCTCTTTGGTCTCTCTCTCTTTAGTCTCTCTCCGGTCTATCTCTGGTCTCTCTCTAGTCCCTTTCTCTGGTCTCTCTCTCTTTAGTCTCTCTCCGGTCTCTCTCCGGTCTCTCTTTGGTCTCTCTCTAGTCTCTCTCTCTGCTCTCTCTCTGGTCTCTCTCTGCTCTCTCTCTAGTTCCTCTCTCTGGTCTCTCTCTGGTCTCTCTCTGGTCTCTCTCCTTTCTTAGTCTGTGTTGTCCCCAAACCACAGTCACAACAACAAACTGTGAGCAATGCAGCGATAAAAGTGACTCAGAATCTTAGACTTTGTGGTGAATTCTCTCTGAAGTTTCCGCATAAGGAAAAAAACACTGACAAACTTTCTTAACAACCAGATCAGTCTCTGTGTGTTACTTTCACTTTCATTTTCTCTGTTGTTAAACCTGACCCTGTTGTTCAGACAGTGCAGAGGACTGTGATTTGGTGGAGCAGGAGAGAGACCAGTGGGAGAGCCTGGAGCAGAGACCCTCTAAGTCCCGGCAGCAGCGCTCGGTCAGCAGAGAGCGCTGGGTGGAGACAATGGTTGTGGCCGACTCCAAACTCATCGAGTATCACGGCAGCGACAACGTGGAGTCGTACATATTCACCATTATGAACATGGTCAGCGTCGGCTTATTTTATCATCTTTGTTTTATTATCAACATTTAATTCAATTCAATGTGTTCTTGTTCTCTGGTTTTCCTCTAGCCCTCAGTCCTACTCCTCTCAGGTCTCTCTGCCTGGTGTCTCTCTCTGGTCTCCCTCTGGTCTCCCTCTGGACTTTCTCTCTGGTCTCTCTCTCTGATATCTCTCTGGTTTTCCTGTAGCCCTTGGTCCTACTCCTCTCTGGTCTTTCTCTCTGGCCTCTCTCTCTGGTCTCTCTCTGGTCTCTCTCTGGTCTCTCTCTCTGGTCTCTCTCTGGTCTCTCTCTGGTCTCTCTCTGGTCTCTCTCTGGTGCCGCCACGGCACGGTGGCTGAGTGGATAGCACTCTCGCCTCTCAGCAAGAAGGTCCTGGGTTCGAATCCCGGCCGGACCAGGGCCTTTCTGAGTGGAGTTTGCATGTTCTCCCTGTGTCTGCGTAGGTTTCCTCCGGGTAGTCCGGTTTCCCCTACCACTAAAAATATGTACAATAGGTCTGGCATTCGCCTCCTGTTCGGCGACCCCGCTCCCATCTCTGGGAGGAGTGAGAGGACAAGTGCCCAAAAAATAACAATTGTAAACCGCTTTGTGACTCTGGTCTGTGAAAGGCGGTATATAAATAAAGATTACTTACTTACTTACTCCCTCTGGTCTCTCTCACTGGTCTCTGGTTATCCTGTACTCTAGTTGGTCCTACTCCTCTCTGGTCTTTCTCTCTGGTCTCCCTCTGGTCTCTCTCTGCTCTCTCACTGGTTTTGCTGTAGCCCTCAGAAAAGAAGTGTCTCTTGGATCTGTTTTCCAGGTGGCCGGTATATTTCATGACGCCAGTATTGGAAATGCAGTCCACGTCATTTTGGTTCGACTCATTCTGCTCCAAGGGGAAGAGGTAACAGAACCTTTACCAGTGGGAGTTTATGTGTCTTTACATACATATATATATATATATATATATTTATAAACATGTAGATTAAGACGTTACAGTGAATACAAATCTGTACACTGTGGTCCCTCACTGTGTGGATCAGCTTTAAACAAACTGTTTTTTGCTGTATTTCGTGTTATTTATTTTAAATAAAACTAGTGAAAAATTATTTACGGAATCATTCTGAATTCTATTGATTTTAATGGAGCAGTCAAAATGAATGTTGTGGGAATTAAAGGCAGAAGTACCTCGTGTGGCTTCATACAAACACTAACAATGAGTGAATAACAAAAAGTTCTTGTTCATGATCTCCAAAACCCTCCACATTTCCATGCACAGCTGATTCTTCTTTTCCTTCAGAAGGGGTTGAAGATCGTTCACAACGCAGACACCACGTTGGCGAGTTTCTGTGCCTGGCAGAAGAACTTGAACCCTCAGAGCGACACGCACCCGGCGCATCACGACCTGGCCGTGCTGGTCACGCGGTAAATCACTCTGTTCAGTATCGCCATGTTTTCCACACATCTAGTTACATACAATAGAGAAAAGTATTGGATAGACAGTGGCTCAGTTGGTAGAGCATTGGCCTTTGAGCCTGAAGGTTGTGGGTTCAAGCCCACCACGAGATCTTCTCCACCGACTCCCACTGATGTCGACAGCCGTTGTGTCCTTGGGCAAGACACTTGACCCCACTTTGCCTGAAGCCCCTGCTGAAAGATCAAGGCAGCTCAGAGAGGAGCAGACGTCCACCTGTGGACTCACCACCTGCAGAAAATGGATGGAGAGCTAAGTTTTGCCATAGTTAATTTAATAATTGTTTGTTTGACTTTCCATCTGAGGTCTATGCTGCTCTGATGTCTGCTGTTCTGACTCTAGTCTGTTGTATGTGATTAATGTAAGTGACGCTGGGAGCTGACTTCATGTGAGAGTCAGAGAATTATGTCTGGCTAAGGTCCTGGGTCCTAAATGTTCAAGGATAACATTTTGCATTTCCCTCCTAAGTTTTTACAATTCAGTCCATATGCAGACCATAATGAATGTGACATTTGAGTTGAGACTTATTTTTCTCAATTTTTGTAATGCCTTTGAATAATAAGAGGGACATGAATTGCAATATATCACGATTTGTTAAGAATTGCAATCATAATGAATTGTGGCCCAAATATTGCAATACTATCAAACTGTCACATCTCTGCCAGCACCCAGCCCTTAGATCCCACAGAGCTGATGTGGGATGTGTGTGTGTGTGTGTGTATGTGTAAATGTGTGCGTGTGTGTGTGTGTTGCAGAAAGGACATCTGTGCTGGACTGAACCAGCCGTGTGAGACCCTGGGACTCTCGCATCTGTCTGGAATGTGTCAGCCTCATCGCAGCTGCAACATCAACGAGGACTCTGGGCTCCCGGTCGCCTTCACCATCGCCCACGAGATGGGACACAGGTGGGAGACAACTTTGACACTAGGACTCCAAGAAGTCTCAAACTTCTAGATCTCGCAGAGCAGTTATTGTGACGCCTGCCATTAAAATCAGGGCAATAAAACAGTTTGGTTTGATCTAAATCAGGGGAGTGCAATACGTCAATCACGATCTACCGACAAGGTTTTTTCACTTCCCATTTAATTCTTTGTATTTTTGTATAGCCTCCCCCCTGGACTGCCACCTTAACGTGGTGGGGGAGTTTGAGTACTCAGATGATCCTGGGAGCTATGCTGTCTGGGGCTTCATGCCCCTGGTAGGGCCTCCCATGGCAGACAGGTCTCAGGTGACGAGTCAGACAAAGAGCAGTCCAGAAGACACCATGGACAGCACTAACACGAAAACAGTGACGTCGCCCGGCATGGCGCAGCCGGGGCCCCACCCTGGAGCCAGGCCTGGGGTCGGGGCCCGTATGCGAGCGCCTGGTGGCCGGGCCTTAGCCCACGGGGCCCGGCCGGGCTCAGCCCGAAGGGATGACGTGGGCAGTCCCTCCTGTGGGCCCACCACCTGCAGAGGGGTCCGTGGTGAAGCGGTGCAGAGAGGACTGGGCGGCAGTCGAAGGCGGAGAGACCTCGGCGACCCAGTCCGCACACACAACATCTGGCTCTTGGGACGTGGAATGTCACCTCACTGGGGGGGAAGGAGCCCGAGCTCGTGGGGGAGGTTGAGCGATACCGACTAGAGATAGTCGGCCTCACCTCCACACACAGCTTGGGCTCTGGAACCCAACTCCTTGAGAGGGGTTGGACGCTCCACTTTTCTGGAGTTTCCCGCGGGGAGAGGCGGCGAGCTGGGGTGGCCATTCTCATTGCCCCCCATCTCAGCCGCCACGTGTTGGAGTTCTCCCCGGTGAATGAGAGGGTCGCGTCCCTCCGCCTCCGGGTGGGGGACAAGTCTCTCATTGTTGTGACGGCCTACGGGCCTAACAGCAGTGCAGAGTACCCGGCCTTCTTGGAGTCCTTGGGAGGGGTACTGGACGGTGCACCGCCCGGGGACTCCGTTATTCTCCTGGGGGACTTCAACGCCCATGTGGGAAACGCCAGTGACACTTGGAGAGGGGTGATCGGGAAGAACGGCCCCCCTGATCTGAACCCGAGCGGTGCTCAGTTGTTGGACTTCTGTGCCAGTCACGGTTTGTCCATCACGAACACCATGTTCGAGCACAAGGGTGTCCACCAGTGCACGTGGCACCAGGACACCCTAGGCCGGAGGTCGATGATCGACTTTGTTGTCGTATCATCTGACCTTCGACCGCGTGTCTCGGACACTCGGGTAAAGAGAGGGGCGGAGCTGTCAACCGATCATCACCTGGTCGTGAGTTGGATCCGCTGGCAGGGGAAGAAGCCGGTCAGACCTGGCAGACCCAAGCGTATAGTGAGGGTCTGCTGGGAACGTCTCGCTGAGCCCCCTGTCAGACGGACTTTCAACTCACACCTCCGGGAGAGTTTCTCCCAGGTCCCGGCGGAGGAGGGGGACATGGAGTCCGAGTGGACCATGTTCTCTGCCTCAATCGCCGATGCGGCGGCTCGTAGCTGTGGTCGCAAGGTCTCTGGTGCTGGTCCCGGCGGCAACCCCCGAACCCGGTGGTGGACACCGGCAGTAAGGGATGCTGTCAGGCTGAAGAAGGAGTCCTATCGAGCCATGATGGTTCGGGGGACTCCTGAGGCAGCTGTCCAGTACCGGCAGGCCAAGCGTGCCGCGGCCCGGGCTGTTGCAGAGGCAAAAACCCGGGACTGGGAGGAGTTCGGAGAGTCCATGGAGCATGACTATCGGTCGGCCTCGAAGAGATTCTGGCAAACCATCCGGCGCCTCAGGAGGGGGAAGCAGTTCTTTGCCAACACCATGTACGGTGCGGGTGGAGAGCTGCTGACCTCGACTGGGGATATTGTCGGGCGGTGGAAGGAATACTTTGAGGTTCTCCTCAATCCCCCCGTCACGTCCTCTGTTACAGAGGCAGAGGCTGAGGATGTTGGGGCGGGTACATCCATCTCCCTGGCTGAGGTCACCAAGGTGGTTGGTAGCCTCCATGGTGGCAAGGCTCCGGGTGTGGATGAGATCCGCCCTGATTATCTAAAGTCTCTGGATGTTGTAGGACTGTCTTGGCTGACACGTCTCTGCAACATCGCGTGGCGATCGGGGGCAGTGCCAATGGAGTGGCAGACCGGGGTGGTGGTCCCTCTCTACAAGAAGGGGGACCGGAGGGTGTGTTCCAATTATCGTGGGATCACACTCCTCAGCCTCCCCGGTAAGGTCTACTCCAAGGTACTGGAGAGGAGGTTACGGCCGATGGTCGAATCTCGGATCCAGGAGGAGCAGTGTGGTTTTCGTCCCGGTCGCGGAACACTGGACCAGCTCTATACTCTCCATCGGATACTCGAGGGTTCATGGGAGTTCGCCCAACCTATCCACATGTGCTTTGTGGATTTGGAGAAGGCGTTCGACTGTGTTCCCCGGGGTGTCCTTTGGGGGGTTCTCCGGGAGTACGGGGTCGGGGGTCCTCTGCTGAGGGCCATCCGATCCCTGTATGACCGGAGCCAGAGCTGTGTTCGCATTGCCGGCAGTAAGTCAGACCTGTTCCCGGTGAATGTTGGCCTCCGACAGGGCTGCCCTTTGTCACCGGTTCTGTTCACTGTATTTATGGACAGAATATCTAGGCGCAGCCAGGGGTCGGAGGGGGTCCGGTTCGGAGACCACAGGATTTCATCTCTGCTGTTTGCGGACGATGTTGTCCTGTTGGCTCCAACGAACCAGGACCTGCAGCATGCACTGGGACGGTTTGCAGCCGAGTGTGAAGCGGCTGGGATGAGAATCAGCACCTCCAAATCCGAGGCCATGGTGCTCGACCGGAAAAAGGTGCCTTGCCCTCTGCAGGTGGGTGGAGAGGTCCTTCCTCAAGTGGAGGAGTTCAAGTATCTCGGGGTCTTGTTCACGAGTGAGGGAAGAATGGAGCGTGAGATTGACAGGCGGATCGGTGCAGCGTGCGCAGTTATGCGGTCGCTGTATCGGACCGTTGTGGTGAAGAGGGAGCTGAGCCGAAAGGCAAAGCTCTCGATTTACCGGTCAATCTTCGTTCCCTCCCTCACCTATGGTCATGAGCTTTGGGTAATGACCGAAAGAACGAGATCGCGGATACAAGCGGTCGAAATGAGCTTCCTCCGCAGAGTGGCTGGGCGCTCCCTTAGAGATAGGGTGAGGAGCTCAGTCACACGGGAGGAGCTCGGAGTAGAACCGCTGCTTCTCCACGTCGAGAGGAACCAGTTGAGGTGGCTCGGGCATCTGTTCCGGATGCCTCCTGGACGCCTCCCTGGGGAGGTGTTCCGGGCACGTCCCACCGGGAGGAGGCCCCGCGGAAGACCCAGGACACGCTGGAGGGACTATGTCTCTCAGCTGGCCTGGGAACGCCTTGGGGTCCCCCCGGACGAGCTGGAGGAAGTGTGTGTGGATAGGGAAGTCTGGGCGTCTCTGCTTAGACTGCTGCCCCCGCGACCCGGCAACGGATAAAGCGGAAGAAAATGGATGGATGGATATTTTTGTATAGCCCTAAATCACAACAGTCATGGTTAACAGTAGTAGTTATCTCAGAGGACTTAACAAAACTGTTGAAATTGTCAACACAGATCAGAGAATCAACAATTAAGACACAAAAAATACAAATCAAATATAGAATAGAAATTAAAACTCCTCCTAACTCCTAAGTGTTGGCTTCAGTTCATGTACAGACCATAATAAAAGTCACATTTGAGTTGAATATTATTTTCCTCAACTTCTGTAATGCCTTTGAATAATCTGAGGTACATGAATTGCAATATATCGCAGAATCGAATCGCAATAATATTGAGTCGTGGCCAAAATAAACTGCAGCACCCCTTGGGCCTTTGTCTCAGTGGTGGCGGGTTCCAGATAATATAATACATCCATGGATCACACTGAACACAAAAAACTAGGTCGCAAGGCGGGTTAAATGCCGAGTCCTTCTGATACCACAGCTTATGTCGCTCAGTGGAAGAATGAGGTTCATTTCTCAGACTGGGACGTCAACAGTAGAGCCGTTATCTTTCTTTCTAAACATTGTCACTGTTTCTTCTTCTGGTTTGCTTTTGCTGCAGTTTTGGGATCCACCATGACGGCCAGGGCAACGACTGTGAGGTGGATGGGAGACACCCGTTCATCATGTCCCGACAGCTGATGTACGACAGCTCGCCCCTCACCTGGTCGTCCTGCTCCAAGGAATACATCACCCGCTTCCTGGAGTGAGTCTGATAATACTGTGAGAGAAGAAAGAAGGCAGGGAAAAGACTTAAAGCTGCTCTGGGGGTTTCAAGTCTCTCCATGGCCTCGAACCAAAGTACATCTGTGACATGTTAGAGCCATAAGAACCGACTCTGAGGAGCACAGGGACTGGCCTCCTGCTGGTACTCTGAGGAGCACAGGGACTGGTCTCCTGCTGGGACTCTGAGGAGCACAGGGACTGGTCTCCTGCTGGGACTCTGAGGAGCACAGGGACTGGTCTCCTGCTGGGACTCTGAGGAGCACAGGGACTGGTCTCCTGCTGGTACTCTGAGGAGCACAGGGACTGGTCTCCTGCTGGTACTCTGAGGAGCACAGGGACTTGGTTCAACTCATTCTGTTCTCTCTCTAGTCTCTCTCTCCTTGTTTAGACCTCTCTTTCTTTGTCTGTATTGTCCCCAAACCACAGTCACGCCTTGTCTTTGCGAGGTCTGAAGAGCACAGGGACTGGCCTCCTGCTGGTGACTCTGAGGAGCATAGGGACTGGCCTCCTGCTGGTGCCCAGAGTAAGAACTAAACATGAGGTGACAGTATTTCAGATTTATGCAGCTACAATCTGGAAAAGTCTTCCTGAAAATGTGAGACAGGCTTCTAATCTGACAATGTTCAAATCCAAGTTAAAAACAGTTGTATTCAGCTGTTCATACAACGGACTGATTTGAATGCTTTGTGTGTTTTTTCTGTTTCTTTTCTTGTTTTGTTCAGCGCTTATGTTTAATGGCCTTGTGTAGTAACTGTGCCATACAAATAAACTGTCCTTGTCTCTCTGCAGTCGTGGCTGGGGGTTCTGTCTGGATGATCGACCCTCGAAGAAGGAGCTGGCGACTCCTTTGGCCAATCTGGGCGTCCGCTACACCACACAGCACCAGTGTCAGCTGCAGTACGGACCCAACGCCACCTTCTGCGCCGAAGTGGACGTCAGTCACACACATATATACACACGCACGCACGCACACACACACACCCCACACACACACACTAACAGGCACATGTAAAACCAACATGCACAAAGACACACACATATACACACACACACACGCTGTGGGTTTGCCTGGCCCTTCCCTCTCTCTCATAAGTTTCGTTTCTGTCTCGGTGAAACTGAGCTGTCTGGTTTGTACGGTCTTGTGTGTTACAGCAACACTCACGCACACACGCACACGCACACGCACACGCACACACACACACACACACACACACACACACACACACACACACACACACACACACACAGGGAGTGCCTGGCCCCTC